TTCCCATTAGATGGCAGCAATGTATAGATAATAATGGCAACTATTTTGATTAAATAAATTTGTTAAAAATTTAAAAAATAAACAATTTAGATTTTCAGTACAAATCGGCAATTTCATACTTTAACCCCTATTATTATTTTCATGAGTAAATGTTGCATCTGTCAAATTTAATTGAATTTATTTACTGTCTGATTATGTTTAGTATTTGAATTTAAGTTTAATATTTTTTTTAATTGTGGTGTTCTATTTCTATGATAGGCCATGACAGAATATCAGTGAGAGCTATGCATTAGCATAGTCCTCAAATGCTGAGTCATGGACCTTTTTGACATGCTTTTTTTGTTTCCTTATTTGTTTTCATTTTTCTTTTTTTCTATTTTTATTATGACATTTTCCTATTTTTTCTATTGTTTTTTTATTATATATGAATGAATTATTTAATATTTTATAATTGTTTGTATTTTGTAATGTATTTTGCATGTCAAATAAATGAGTCATTCTTTTTTTCTATCGACAATCTAATACTAGTTTGAAAGGTTTTGATAAAAGATAAAAAATTACAATTTGTTAAAAAATATGTTTTGAGATTATTGTCCAATGATTATAGATACCATAAACGAACTGTGCATCAATGTTTTACTGGATTCACTCTGGAAATTTGAAAGGTTTTGTGTATGATAATAAAAATTTAGCACCTCGGTCCCGAAATTGATTTGTTTTTTTAAGCCATAGCGATATCTTTTTTTAAATATTATTATTATCCCTAAAACTAGAAAACTGAAAGTTATTCTTGGCTACTTTCTTATTGCAACAATCACATCAAGTAAATCAGAAAAGGTTACTTAATACCACTCTGTCACATTTCTTCATATCAGTATCAGTTTTTTTTAATTTTATGTTATTAACAAGGGAAAATGTAATGAAACATTGGTTACCACCTTCAATATAAACTAGTTAATAATTAAATACTTAATTTTAATACATATATATGAAATGTTGAACACAAATACCTTTTGACTCTTGCAAATGTGACACATTTGTGACAGAGTAGTAGCAAAGTGACAGTGTGTTAATTTTTTTGTAATGTTGCATTTGATAGAACATCATATTTTTAGTTGTTTTGCTATCATTTCTATGTTTATTTCATTTTCCTTGTCACTGCTTTTTCAACTATTTAATTTTTTGTCTTTCTTATTCTTTCGATTAAATCTTTTTATATTTCTGTAGCCTTCTTTGTGATTCTAGAAATTGGTGTTTTAGCTAAACAATTTAGTCTTTAGCGCTAGCTCTGGACGACTCTGGAGTCGATACACGAGATTGAGGACTTAAAGGATGTAACATCGGACTTGAAAGTGGGGACGTAGAAGCAGGAGTGTTCAATAAAACGTCTCTTAAAGCTATCTATTTTTCTCTTCTCTTCTTGTTCCTAATTTGCGATTTTCGTTTCATTAATCTGTGTTCTTCTGTTGTTATGTGTTTAACAAGCCTTTTCCGAGCATGATATCGCTCTAAATCTTTTCGTTTGATCTGCTGAGGTTGAAGTTGGTTTTCATTTTTTCACTACTCGTCGTCGCTGCCTCTCTACTGCATAGTGGTATTTTTCTGTTTAGATACCTTAAACAAGTAAAACAATATTTAATTTGTTATTTTACATGTGAAAACATAATCTCTACCACAAAAAAAAAGTTCAAGAAAGTTCAAGAATATTTATAAAAAATACCGCTCAGTCACGAAAAATACCACCCGTCACATTTTTGTGACGAAGGTGTCCCGTGACGGAATTGTAAAAAAGCGACGTTTGCAATTTTCAGGCATTACCTTATTACAATTTGGAACTAAAGTCCAGCTTATATAAAAGAATTGCCAGGAAACGCCATAATTACAACTAAATACTAAAATAATATTACTATTTTAAAGGTTTAACTTACGTGACCTTATGCACCTCCTTTGGCAATCTAAGGGTGACTGGCTCGATTCGCCAGTGTAGCCGGGTACAAGTTGTGGTCCGAGGAGATTAAAGGAATCACACGGGCCTATAGCGCATCAAAGTTAAAATCGCGTATTTCGAAGTAGGTGTTTTAAATGCGCGTGACAAAAGATAGCAACGAAAATTACTCATAACTAGAGACACGAATAAAAATCTTTCTAAGTTAAAATATTGTTTTAAGTTGTCATTATTAATTTGCAATATATGCAAAGTTCAATAAAGTTTTTAAAATAAATCAAGCCATAAGTTTTTTTGTTAGGAAAGCGGTTTGTAAACGCACGCAGCGCTAAAGGACATATTTTATTATATGGATTTCACCTCTGTCACACTTTTGGAGTACAACGTCACGATATTTTCGATCAATTACTAAATAACTACGTGTGAAATTTTTAGAAGTCCCATAGGTCATGTGGTCAACAAGAACATAAGAAGAAAAAAGCAAAAAAAAACAGTAATTACCACCATTATTTTTGTTTAGCTTTGAAGGAGACAAGCCATTGTCAATAGGGGGACCTCTCTCGAACTCTGAGTAGTGAACATCGTAAACGAGTTACTCGTCATATTTATTTAAGTTTTTATTGTTTAAAGAATTATTGCACCTTGTTATTTGGAGGACACATACTTGTACTGCTAAAGTGTGTTTTGTGAATGTATCTAGACTTTATTAGTGCTGCAAACAGTGAATTTATAAAGATAACCCAGGTAAAATTAGTTAAATATACCGTCAATAACTGCCAATACGAACGGATTCATTAAAACGCGTAAGCGACGCGTTCTACACGGCGCTTACGACGTTCTTCCCGCGACCGTGCTGGTGCATCGATAACTGCGAGTGCTAACGGTGGCTTTAAATTGGACTGGACTTGTTTGTTTAGTCACTGTCCCTGTGTTCTTGTTTACAAAATAACGTTACATTTTTTGACGTTAACTATGCCGCTAAAACGGACGCCGCCGCCTAGTACACTCAATCGTGGTGAAAAGGAAGAAAACGTATTCTGTCCTCGATTCATTATACCACAATCAGGATCCACTCCTAACTTAACAGATATGGAAAGTGACAATAACACCAGCAGATTTAAGCGCAAGCGCGAAAATAGCCCGGTATTTATGCAGGAAATTCGTAGTTTATTGTCTGCATCTAATGCAAAATCAGACGAGAAATTCACAGCCTTGCAGTCGGCTATGGCTGAGGTTATCGCTCAAAATACAGAAATAAAAGACGCAATTGCCTTTACTTCGAAGCAATATGACGATATGATGGTACAATTAAATCAATTAGAATCTGAGCGTAAGTCTGATCGTGTCCATATTCAACAGTTGGAAGAAAAAGTAGAGAACCTGGAACGTATGCTGTATTCAACTAAGATAGAAATCAGGAATATACCCAAGAAGCCGGGCGAAAACAAGGATGATTTATGCACTATTATAACTAGAGTTGGTAATGTACTTGAAACACCGATTCAACGTCAAGACATTAAAGATGTTTTTCGAGTGAATTATAAGGACAGCAAGTCATCAGCAATAATTGTAGATCTCAGCAGCGTCATTTTAAAAGAGAACTTATTAAAAAAAAGGTCGTCATTTCAACAACAAAAACAAGCAAAACAAACTTAACTCGACTCACCTCAATATTGAAGGACCTCCGAAACCGGTTTATTTGTCTGAAAGACTGGCACCTAAAACACAAGGACTCTTCCATATCACTCGTAACTTCGCCAAAGACAATGGCTACAAGTACTGCTGGACGTCATACGGAAGAGTATTCTTACGCCAAGATGACGGAAAACAACAGTTTCTTATAAAAAGCGAGGGTGATTTGAATAATTTACTACAAGAAAAATGACTAGTATTCGTTTTTAAGTTTTATTCCTGTAACGTTTTTCTTTGGATTTTTGTATTAATACCCTATCTAAATATTGTTAAAAAATTCTACACAAATACTCACCCATACTACACAAAACAAATTTATTCACACAAAGCTCTCACTCAAATTCGCCTCACAAAAAAAACATATACCCATACCAAAATAAATTTACATTCGCACCGAAACCACATACATTCGCTACAAAGAATAATCACATTAAATAAGTTATACAATAAAAAGGTTGCATCTTGGTATATGACACTATTTATTTACACTAAAACCTATAATTTTGCAATTTATAATAAAAAAAATTTACAATGATTGATACAAATCATAACAATACAGTGGAACTAGATAATATTTCTGTGGCGTCAGCCTATTATTGTGATACCACGACGTGCAACTCACTTTTGCTAAACACTGTTGATTCGTTTAATATAATCACCCAAAATATTCGAAGTATTCATAAAAACTTTGATAGCTTATTAGCACAATTGGCTACATTCACAATTAATATTGACGTTATAATTTTGACTGAATGCTGGCTGAAAGACCACAAACCTATACCCCAACTATACAATTATATTGCATTTTCTAATAGTAAGCATCTTAATCATAGTGACGGTATCGTTATATACGTTAAAAAATATATTAAGTGTTCAGTTACGGAGCCAGAACCGATAGGAGCTAGTTACCTATTATTAAAACTTGAACCAGATACTCACATTCTGGCAATTTATAGATCGCCGTCTATACTAAACACAGACACGTTTCTAAGCACGATAGACAGCATTATACGTCCTTTACACTCCAGACAAAATATTATATTAACAGGTGATATTAACATTGACATTAAACCAAACAACAATGACAGACATAGTGCTGCTTACTTGGACCTATCTGCTGAACTAGGAATGTTACCGGGTCATCAATATCCTACCAGGTTGCTAAACTGTTTGGATCATGTGATGTTAAAGACGGCTTTCCCTGCATCCGTATTTGTAATTGACTCCACAGTAACAGACCACGCTCTAGTGTTGCTAAATCTTCCTCTGATCAAATTTAAACAAGGTTTAGTAAACTATGTCAAAAAAACTGATTTCAATGCGGCTGTTAGATACCTCCAATCGGTTGACTTTTCTTTTATAACGCCTACCTCTGACGCCAACGTAATCGCTTCACTTTTTGTTGAGAAACTATCGTTTGCAATAATGTCTAATACCAAGTCATACAAAGTACCTAACAGGAGGAAAATTCTGAAACCCTGGTTAACGTCTGGTCTACTTCGCTGCATTCGTCATAGGGATAGGCTTCATAGAAATTTTAAAAAAGACCCAAATAATGAAATTCTTCAAATTACTTATAGGCGATACCGTAACTTTTGCAATTTCTTGTTGCGAAAGCTAAAGAGAAACTATGAAAAGTCTTTATTACAGTCGTCGAACTCAAATAAGGACACCTGGAATGCAATCAAATCGATACTTGATATATCGAAATCGAAAACCTCTGCACATGATTTATTACGTTCAGATAATGGTAAAAATATTCAGGACATTAATAGATATTTTTCTAATATAGGTAAGGAGCTAGCTGATATGATAATTTCTTCAAATTGGAATAACAAAAGTGAATATAGTTTAGATATACCTCCAGTAGTAAATTCTATTGTGCTACTACCACCAGACGAAGCCGAGATTGAATCAATAATAATTAACCTTAAAAATAACTGTGCCGTTGGGTGGGACTCCATACCAGTTAAATTTTTAAAACTTTCAAAAAATATAATAGTTCCCCCCCTTACCAAAATTATTGAACTTTGCCTATCCCAGGGAGTTTTCCCACAGGCTTTTAAGAAGTCGCTCATCACCCCAATCCACAAGTGTGGGCCTCGAGACAGTATCTCCAATTATAGGCCGATATCGATACTCAGCTCAC